GCTAAGGTAATGCATAAAGGTAGCATGACTGTCTGAGATCTATTTCACCTTGTGCCTCGATACTTCTTGGTGCGGTGGATTGATCAATGAGACGATTAGATCTGTGTTCCTTTCCTAACATTTTGTGCCTATGGAGTGGGTCTTTAGGTGCGGGTAAAACCCAGTGCCTGGACTGAGTCCTTTGGTGCAGTGTGTGGATGTAAAACAGTTCAGTGGGTCATGTTAGTGTAATAAAAGAAACTGTAGGGGATCAATTTCCATTCCAGAACTCACAAGTTGCATGTGTGCACATCAATCAATCAATCAGACACCTATAGGGTCCCTTGTGAAATCCTTTGTGATATCTACCAATTTTGTACCAAGAGATTCGGAAAGGGCAGATAGCTCTCTCTTTACCACTGTAGACAAGAATTTGTAACTAACCATGCAAACTTTTCGTTCTTTTTAAAGGGATGCTGGAATTTTGTTGTTGTGAAGACAGCCAGCCTCTATTGTTGAACAGGAGGGGACTCCCAAGGTCTGGTAAGATCCCTCCAACTGAACAGTTTTTTCTAATTAAAAAGTTGGATATTTATATGTAGTTCCCATTTCAATTTACTGTTTACCCTGCTTCCTAGCTGTGTTGTTATTTACCTATCTCAATTACAACATTTTTTTTGGTTGCAGACAACATTTATGTGACTCAAAGTTATATATACTAAACCCTTTTCCTGGGCTTGATTGGTACCTAATGCATTTTGCTTCTCGTTTTTGCCAATTTTTCTTTGGACATATTTATGAATGAAACCAGATTTTCTGGAATTATTGTAAAGAGCTCACTATTACAAAAATATAACATCTGTTTATCACATGAAAATTGCACTTTGTTGTTGCATTTGTTAATTAACTGTCACCCTCTCAAATATTACATTTGGTGTGAATCTATTGAAACCTTGAACTCTCTGGCATAAGGACTATATAAATCTTTTTAAACATGAAGTTGTAGTCATCAGCTTTGTTTTGAATTACCTTGATGGTGTCTTGGGCTTGTTTATTTTACCCAACAAGGGGCCCCGCTTGGGAAAATGAATATGGAATAACGGTCACAAGCATTTACAACTAGCTCAAATTTAACCCATTGCTTTAACGTAAGCAATTCTCACACAGCAAGTAAATGCTCAAAATCAGAACACGGTACCTATTTGGTTTTAGACTAGTCTCTTCAAGGAGTAGAGGAATGAGTTAAAACAAAAATGAAATGTTATCTATAGTGTTATGACTGTTACAACAGTCTGTAATCTGCTGCATATTTTGATTCCAAACACCCCTACACTTCTACTGATTAGTACATCTACAGATTAAATTCCAGTTTGGTCAGGACTTGTCATTTATTTGCAACACGAATGATAATATATGCCTTTGACAACCCCTTGCCTTACTGTGCTATTAATTTTCATTCTCATACTCAGCGTGTTGAGTGAATCGGGAGCTACGAAAGAAAGAATGAGAGTAATATCCCTCGACACCAGCCTCAGAATTTTTATTCATTAACGAATATATACAATCACATTTTAAAGAGATTCAGGCAAAGTTCTTCTTATCTCCTCATTCGGATACTGAAAAGAAAGGAAACATTGCTCTATAGTCACTGTTATGGAAGATATAAACAGAGTCTAAAGATTAAGCCACTCACCTTAATCTACCCTGTTTGCAGTCCGTTATTCTCCACTTGATGAAAATGAGGAAATGTGTGTCCAAATGTGCACTGCCTCAGAGTAATTGCTTTGAAGAATGACCTGGGGAGCAAATAAAAGAAATCAATTAGACCAGACTAGTTAGGAAACAGCCTACATCAAAAGAGGTACTTCATCGGTTCTTACAATCTCTAGGAAGAAATTGTCTCGCAAAATATGAGCATATGCGAGTCCAAGGAATTTGTGGTACGGCAGCAGTGCAGAAGACGTTCGCTTGGCAATTCCTCAACAACCAGGGTGATGCTGGCCAGTCTGGCAGCTATTTATCCTCGAGGAGTATCCTGAAAAACCACAATTACATGTATCAGTCGATGGTAGTGACAATCTAGTTTGCTACAAATTTAAGTTTGCAGTTGCCAATCCAAGAACAAAGCCATAGCAATTTGACAAAAACCACACCCAAATTAAACATTAACGCACACACACACACACACACACAAATTTGGAGGCAAGGCTAAAGTATGAAGATGGTGCTTTAGGCCAAGCAGCAGTGTGTCAGTCAACCTCGCAGTTTTTTTTTTTTTTTTTTTTTTCAAAAGCATTAGCTAGCCTGAAGAAAAGGTCAAACAAAATAAAACAAATCGAAAAAAAGAAGCCAAAATCATTTGAACAATCGCAGCAAAGGCAAATGGAGGATAACAAAGCGTTGAGGCCGAGCCCAGCCGAGCCCCCGCAAACCACATTTTCAAGAAAGGTTATGGTAGAAGACGACACCACAAACTCCAAAAGAGCGGAGAAAATTTAGACTACGAAAACGAGCACAATTTTTAGAGGCAAGAAGACTTACGCTCGCAATGAGTAGAATGAAGACAGACAATGACACACTACAACAGCAGCAAAACACCGATTCTGAAAACGAAATGTTCGTCTGTCTGCTTTTGTACGCGCTATTTGCACTCGCACTGCGCATAACGATCTCGTAGTGTGTCGATAGTGCGTATCACATAACTTTGAAGGCGGCGAGGAAAAGAACAACAAACCCACAAAGCACATTGTGTTTACTGTAGTTATTATTGCGTGTAGTGTGAATCTGTGAAGTGAAACCATGCAGTGAGATTTCGAACATGACAACCGGGCGTCGGGTAAACAGAAAAAGAGTCGTTGCCAACTCGCCTGTAATAGTGAAATGTGGACAAATTTCTTGTCTAAAGACGAAGCCAGCTTTTAAATTGCTGCCTAATAGTGATCCCGCTGGACCAGGCCTAGGCTATCTGCTGTCAACATGGAGATAGCTATGGAAAGGTGCTGCTGCTGCTACCAGAGTGGAGTCAAGGTAGGCACTAGGACCCCTCAAGTGTTTGAGTGTTAAACTGGACTGCGAGAAACAACATAGTGCAATGTAAACAACAACAGACATCTCAAAGTTGCACGAACCAAGTAATGGCACACACACTCATACCATTTATTTGTTTTCAACAAATAGACGGTCCATATTTCAAGAAGAATTAAGGAAATCGTCACTGGAAAAACACTACAGTAAAAACTAGTGCAAATGAACCTTCATTGTTACGATGGACTTACTCGAGGTCATACATAGTTATGTGAAACTGAACTGTTAAATGAGGAAAATAAGCGGATCATACTGGCTCCAGTCCTGATTTCCTTACTCCTTCTCGAAACACGCAGAGCATGAACCGTCTATTAGAGCTCTAATTAACAAAACCTTCCTCGTATCTCTATCATTACACCTCGCAATCAATTACCGTTTTAAAAATTGCCACAAGCGTGAACTAGTAGAGTTTCACTTGCTGAAAGCGGGCCTTTGTGTTGTGAGTTTTGTTTCCGCCACAAAAAGTATAAACCTGTGTTGGAAGATCTTAGTCTGTTTTGGCTGATTAGGGACCATCCAGAAAGTACGCCCGATTTTTCTAAGATTCGTTCAGCGAAAAAGGGAAATGAGCGCCTGCGAGGCTCAAGGTAGGCCAGCCCGCAGAACACACATGCACTCCATACGAGAAGTTGCCTACCCACCAGGCGCTCCGAGAGCTAGCACAGGATGAACTTGGCAGTTTTGGAACAGCGAATCACGGACGTACTTTGTGGATGATCCCTTATTTGTGGCCTCAAGTCAGTGGTCTCAGATTAGGCCGAAAATCTCATGTCCTACGGTTGCAAATCTCATGTCTCCGAGACATGAGATTTGCTACCGTAGGACATGAGACTGCCGCCTCGGGATATGGCGGCACTCTCATGTCCTATGGTAGCAAATCTCATGTCTCGGAGA